CGCAGAGCCCGCTGCGAGCCCGCTGCCGGAGGCACCCGCCAGCCGCCGGCCCCGGGAGGAGCTGGGGACCGCTGCCGGAGCCCCGGGAGCAGCTGGGGATCGCTGCCGGAGCCCCGGGAGCAGCTCGGGACCGCTGCCGGAGCCCGCCACCTTGCCGTGCTTGCGGCGGCCGCACTCAGGACGGGATGCTGAGCGCTCGGGGCTGACCCCGGCCCGCCGCCCCGGCCTTCCCCAGCCCCGCTCACCGTGCCACGCTCTGAACTCTGGTGACACAGCTCTTCCTCCAGATTGCAGCCACCCAGTTTTACACGTACTTATTTTAAAATAGGGAGCGGGGGGGAAAAAAAAGTGTTCTGGAGGTGGCGCTTTCATAATTTCCAGTTTATCAGTTCAGCTACTCGTTTGCCCATTTTTATTGGAAATTTTAACTACCTGTAAAATCTAAAGATGGCTGTTAGCGTCACACCGATCCGGGACACAAAATGGCTAACGCTGGAAGTGTGTAGGGAGTTCCAAAGGGGGACTTGCTCACGACCAGACACGGAATGTAAATTTGCACACCCATCGAAAAGCTGCCAAGTTGAAAACGGACGCGTAATCGCCTGCTTTGACTCATTGAAAGTGAGTAAATATTACATTATTTTCAAGGATACGTGGTTAATGAAAGAAGCAGTTGTAGCCAGAGAAATCCTGCAGCCAAACAGGAGCAAGTGCTGGCTGCCAGCAGTGGGGTGTTTTGCTGCTTTTATTTTATTGATGCTTGGCGGTTTGTGTTGCTTCTTTCCTCAGGAGAAGGGGAAGGATATAGGGAACGAAAGGAAAATACGTCTGGCAGTGCTCAGATCCTCCAGTATGGCTACAGGGGCTCATTCTTCGCCTCCAAATCATTCCCTGCCTGTAGCTGGAATAAAGGGCACTTCACGTAGAAACAGCAAAGTCACTGTGAGGATTCTTTGTTTTTAATAGCACAAACCACGTAAGCAATATGCGGATTTGTTTCCATCTCATAACTACCAGTGGGTTGTTGGTGTCTCTGGACAGCTGATGGTGAACCTTAGAAGAGTGTTTTCCTCCCTGGGTTATTTGGGTGTCTGAGAGCACCCTGCTTGCCTTTCTGTGCTTGGCACTGGTGTGGTTATCCCATCTTTTTCCCAAGTGCACTTGCTTTAAGGGAAGGACAGCACTTAGCAGAGGGCAAGGTGCCTCTGGACGTGCAAGCACGGCAGGGGCCACATCCCAGCTAGGCACCATAAATACAGGGCTGTTGTTTCAGTGTAGCTGTGGTGTCAGTGATGTTAAATGTGCAGGTCCCAGCTCCTTCTCGTGGTTTTTCCACGATGTAAATAACCTAGCGTGTAAAATACTCATATCACAAACAGTACAGAATTCATCCAGTGGAGTCATGAAAAAACCAAACCTTGGGAAGCAGAAATTTGTCTGTCGGTTTTTTCTGATGTGATTTTCTTTTGCTGGGCTCGATGCTGGGAAGTGGAGCCGAGTGTGTGGAGCTGTCTGCTGGCAAACAGGGAGGGAGCTGGAGCAGCTCCTGCAGGTCCCAGCCGGGCCTGGCACAGCACGAGCGGGCAGGAAGTGACTTATGGCAGGTCTCTGAATCCTCAACGTCCCGAGCTCCAAAATGTGTCTTGTCTCTGGTTAGGGCGCAGGGTAAAGCTTTACAATGCTCTCAGGCCTGAAATGCCCACTCCATCACCCCCAGCCATGGCTTAATTTTCAGGTACTGGAAGGATTTGTTTCTGTGTTTGGTTTATTTTTAAATACAGCATTTACAATGCATGCAGGGTATTAATTTTAAAATGTGGAAATAAGATGTTTTTATGCATGAAGCACGTGCTGGAGGTAGGAGCAGAGCCAGGGCTACCCGTGCCAGTGGGGAGTCCCAGCTCGGCGGTGTCACGGCGAGGACGCGGTGCCACTGTGGGGATGGCGGTGCTGCCAGAGCACGGCCTGGCTCCAGAGTCCTGAGCGAGGGGCTGTGACAGTGGCTTTGCTGGTGGCAGCAGCACCCGCGTGTCCCCGGGCTGCTTTCCCAGCAACGTGCGCCTGACCCCGCTGGCCTTGCGCTTGCGAGGCTGTGGCCGAAGGGCTGGACACCGGCCACTGGAGCGAGCCGGACGTGATGGCAGCGGCGCTGGAAGTGCCTTCAAATCTCGCTGCTGCCGGGGGGTGCAGGAGCTGCTGTCTGGGCAAGAGGGGATGGAGCGGGCCTGGCCTGCTTTCCCCAGCCCCGGCAGCGTGACTGGCCCTGCTGCCATCAGCAGGGCTCTTCGCTTCCTTTCTTCATGCAGGAACTGAGGCTGACCTTTGCCAAGCGCTGCAAGGTCCGTGGGTGATAACCGTGGGTAACGTTTCAGCGTTGCTGCGGATCCTCGGAGGAGAGGAGTGCGCTGCTGCCCTGTGGAGCCAGCCAGGGGCCGAGCTGGGAGCTGGGAAAGAATCTGCTGTTTAAAAATACACTGCTGAGCAGAGCTGTTTACTTGTGCTCATGCTGAAAGGTTTGCCAGTGGCTGAGCTGCTGTGTGCTGGAGAGGCTCCCGGGGATCCGGCCATCCCCTCATGGAGCCCAGGGCAGGATCCTGCGGTGTCCCGGCTCCTGTGGCTGCAGCAGCTCCCCAGCCCCTGGGCAGGCGTGGGCAGTGAAGTGGCTGTGCCATATATGAGAATACCTGGGGTGAACAGAAAATGGAATATCCCCCTTTGGGGAATTCCCAGTCCAACCCCCATTGCTGAAGCCATTGCTCAGTTTTGGTTTTGTTTCAGCTGTGTCGGTTTTGGTGTGTGCTGAGCTCAACCAACGCTAGTCACTGAGTTACCTTGTCTGCAGCATCCTAAACTTCAGATGTTCTGCAAAAGCAATTTAGGAAAATGCTGCACCAGCTCTGTCTGGGCCATATAAGGTCAGTCAATACTTTAGTACAGATTAAAAAAGGTTTTTGGTTAGGACATTCAAAAGTAATTTTTAATTTTTCAGTAATTCAATATGGATGTAATGTCCTTGTTCTTTACTAAAATAGCAGTGCACTGAAAAATTTACCTTAATGTTAAAATACTTGATTTCTTATTAATGTATATAATATTAGTATTAGTTAGACAGCTATTCTTGCATTATCTCTTGGACATAAGACAGATACTTAGTCACTGAATTTTTCTTTACAAATTCCTGCATCTTGGCAGGAGTTGAAGGGAGGTGACCTTTAAGGTCCCTTGCAGGCCAGCCCGCGGTGTGATGCTGTGATGTGTCAGTCCAGGAGCTGGTGTGTGCCCGAGGAGTGACTGCTGTGTGGAGCTGACGTCAGGCAGGTGTGAGTGCTGCAGAGCCGCAGCTCCTGGGCAGGACGGCTCCGAGCTGGAGATGGCCCGTGTGCTCTGCTATATTTATATTTATATTTATAGGAGATAAACAGGCAGAGCAGATCCTCCTCGGAGGGGACCCCGTGCAGTGGCAGTGCCCTTCGCCTCTGGCCCTGGCCCAGGTGTCCTCTGCGGGCGCAGGGACAGAGCACAGCGAGTGCGCAGCCAAGCACCGCTGCCCTGCCGGGAGCAGGCAAAAATAGATCCCAGAAGTGAAACTTGCAGCTTGGGTAAAGCGCTGTTTTATTTAAGTTGTTATTTCTGCGACCTGCAAGATGCAGGCACAAACTCGGTGTAGGGCTAGAGCAGGGCAAGCAGTGTTCTCTCCCGAGGTTCCATCCCGAGGTTCTCTCCCGAGGTTCTCTCCCGAGGTTCCATCCCAAGGTTCTCTCCCGAGGTTCCATCCCGAGGTTCCATCCCGAGTTTCTCTCCCAAGGTTCCCTCCCGTGCTGGGTGACAGTGCTGGCACTGGGCTCTGGACACGTCTCCGGTTGGGAAACACGGCCTGGGCTGCACCTGGCAGCTCCTCCTCCCTTACCTGTGGGAGCAAAAGGCAGCCAGGCCGTGGCTGTGACCTCGGAGCTGCTGCAGGAGGTCAGGGCTGGGACAGCCCCAGCGAGATGTCATCATCCTGCTGCCTAATTAGCGCTAATGAAACCTGCAAGGCTGGCCTAGGGGAGCGCATGAATCAAGATGAACGTGTGTGGGATAATGTGGCCCTTAGATATTAGGAGGATAATTTTAAACCAAGAATGATTATGTAGTGTATTCAAATTATGCGCTGGAGCGGCTGAGTCAGCTCCAGCTCTGGCTCTGCCTTGTTTAAATGCCGTAGGATTTTTTTCCTAAATTTGGATGCCTAAAACCCTGTTAGACTGTCTACAGCAAAAATAAGCTCAAGTTCCTAAATCAGGAAACTGGTTTGCAACAGAAATTTGATTTTTACCATAATTTTGAAACATTTTTCTTCTTTTATTTTTCTTGGAAAAATAAGTCTAAGTAGAACTCGTTTTTGAAATTACGTTAGCTTCGTCAGATGTTCCGATAGATGAGTCATCCGCGTTTCCTGAAAGCTGAGATAAAGATGTCTGAACAATGGGGAGATGGATGTCAAATGCAAATCTTGTGGGAGCAGCAGATGCGCCGAGGCCACGCGGTCACTGCGCCGGGGAAAGGGGCTCTGTGGGACAGGGCTGCTGTGCTCCCAAAGCCTGAGCTGAGCCGGGCTGAGCTGAGCCGGGATGAGCTGAGCCAAGCCGGGCTGAGCCGGGCTGAGCTGAGCCGAGCTGAGCTGGGCTGAGCTGAGCTGAGCTGAGCCGGGCTGAGCTGAGCTGAGCCGGGCTGAGCTGAGCCGAGCTGAGCTGGGCTGAGCTGAGCTGAGCTGAGCCGGGCTGAGCTGAGCCAAGCCGGGCTGAGCCGGGCTGAGCTGAGCCGAGCTGAGCTGAGCTGGGCTGAGCTGAGCCGAGCCAAGCTGAGCTGGGCTGAGCTGAGCCAAGCCAGGCCGAGCTGAGCTGAGCCAAGCCAGGCCGAGCTGAGCCAAGCCAGGCCGAGCTGAGCTGAGCTGAGCCGAGCTGAGCCGAGCTGAGCCAAGCCAGGCCGAGCTGAGCCAAGCCAGGCCGAGCCGAGCCAAGCCAGGCCGAGCTGAGCTGAGCTGAGCCGAGCTGAGCCAAGCCAGGCCGAGCTGAGCCAAGCCAAGTCGAGCTGAGCTAGCCCAGGCCCTTGGAGCCAGCGTGCACCACGGCGCTGCAGCTCCCAGTCCGCTTTTGGTCTCCTGAGTTATGCTCCCGCTAAGGTGGCTCCTTCTTCTTTGAGCTGGGTGTCCCAATGAAGTGTAAAAGCTTTTTCTACTCTTTCTTCAACAGCTGGAAAGTCTTAAACTTCCACATTTTTCTGCTTTTTTTTTTTTTTAATTCTAAGAAAAAGCTGGAAACCAGAAGTGTAAGTCACTATAGTGATGATATCTGAGGTTGAAGCTCTGGTGCCTTGTGTCTGAGACCCATCAGCACTTGGTATGATAGTGTTTTATCTTCTGATGTAGAAGTTTTTATTTTTTTTAAATGGTACACCTGAACTCTGTAAAAGTGATTGCCACTTTTTTCCAAGAAGGCTTAAAAATATATAAATGTAGCAGTATTATTATTATTATTATTATTATTATTGCTGCTGAAATTGTTGAGCATCTTATTTCTTCCACCTCAGAGATGTAATTGTTAGTTGTTCAAGTCCCTCTACTTTGTTGTTGCTTTAAAAAA